CACCTAGGAGGCTGAGGCAGGTGGATCACTGACTTTGAGGTCAGCCTGGGCTACACAGCGCTTTCAAGAGCAGCCTGGACTACATAGTGAACCTTATCTCAAAAAATAAATAAAAAGGCCTGAAGGTGTAATCAGGGGTAAAGCATTTGCCAAGCATGTGAGGCCCCAGGTTCCATTCCCAGTTCCACAAGTCAATAAATGGAGAGAAGGGAGGACAGTGTGATACCATAGTCTCTCAATTTTAGTGTATGTGCTGCCAAAGTGAGCACTACTGTTTCTCAAAAAGAGTACATGTGAAGCAGCAGAAAGGCATCTACCAAGGAGAACGGGAGGAAGAAAGTGCATAAAGCCCTAAGAGGGCAGGAAAAGATTCAATGATTTTTTATTTATTTTTTTTTTGGCGGAACCGGGGATTGAACTCAGACCCTTGTGCTTGCCAGGGAAGCGCTTATTCCACTGAGCCATCTCCCCGGCCCAATTCACTGATTCTTTCAACATTCATTATTTGCTTACTCTGTGGCAGGCAGACCCTATGTGATCACTGACCTCCTTCCCAAGGTGACCCCTATAAGTCATACCCTCATTCCCCAGCCACAATTTACTTGGTTTGTGGATGGAAGTTACACACACACACACACACACACACACACACACACACACCCCTGAGGGCTCTAGAGCAGGATATGCAATAGTCTCACTACATACCACTATTGAGGTCGGGCCCCTACCTCCAGGAACATCTTCCCAAAAGGTTGAGCTAACAGCTCTGACACATGCCCTCACCCTAGTGATGGGAGCCACTACTAACTTATATACTGATTCAAAATATGCTTCTCACATTACTCACCAACATAAAGCCATATGGGTGAAAAGAGGGTTCCTTAGTATCAGAGGATCCTCCGTTGTCAATGTGGGCCTCATACCCAAACTTCTCAAGGCCACCTCCTTACCTGCCCAGGCTGCCATTCTACACTGCAGAAGTCATCAGAGGGGCACAGACAACATAACCAAGGGAAACAACTCTGCAGACCAACAAGCCAAAGAAGCTGCCCTTCTCTCTTGGTCACCTCTCATGATGCTCACTACAGCCCCACACACTCCAACAAACCCGACATACTCCCACTCACAAAGGGAGACTCTCTCCAAACTAGGGGCCACCCCAGGACCACAGGGATGGCTTCTTCTGGAGGGCAAATGTTGCCTGCTAGACACTCAAGCTACACAGTTCCTTACAGATCTACACAACTCCCTATACCTTGGATAGCGCCCTCTCAGTTGTCTTCTGCATTGTCATTTATTACAAGAGATTGACCAAGCCCTACAAGATATCACAAACCATTGCACCACCAAGTCAATCCCCAAGGACTCCGGCCTCTGGTCTCCTTTAAACTCCATCAGTTTAGGGGATCTCTCCCAGGCCAAAAATGGCAGATAGATTTCACTCATATGCCTTGCCACAAAAAATTCAGATATAACCTCTCTAGCAGATACCTTCACAGGGTGGGTTGAAGCCTTTCCCACAAAAGGAGAAACAGCTGACATAGTATATTCTATCCTACTAAACCAGCTCAGCACACCAGTGGGTGGGGCTGGCTGGCATGTGGTGCTGGGGGATTGAACCGCGGTCCCTGTGCTTTGCTAAGCTTGTTCTAAGTAGGTGCTTTAGACCACTGAGCCATCTCACCAGCCCTGGACTTGTCTTTATTTCTAAAGTCACTCAACAAATATCTCATACCCTAAATGTAAGATGGATACTTCATACTCCTTAATGCCCTCAATCCTCAGGAAAAGTAGAAAAGGCCAACTACCTGATCAAACCCAACTAACCAAACTCTCCATAGAAACCCATCAGTCCTGGCCAGATCTACTACCCTCTGCCCTTGCCCGACTCTGTGCTGCCCTCAGACAACTCTGTGTTTAGTTCTTTAGAACTTATGTATGTTAGACCCCTGCTTCTACCTACCCTACCTCTAGACCCAACTCCCAATCCGCTTGCCAACTACTTGCCACTGCTCTCATTAACTTGACATCTCAGACAATATGCTGACCAATGCCTCCCTAAACCTGATAATGGCTCAGCTTGGAGACCAAATCTTCATAAAGTCATCCCACCGTCCAATGAGCCTCACTGGTCTGACCTACACACCATTATCCTGAGCACGCCAACTGCTGCAAAGCTTCTGGGAAGTCAAGCCTGGGTCCATCTGTCCAGTCTCAAAAGAGTCCCACCACCAACTGATCAACAAACAGATAAGCAAACCTGGTAGTGCCAATCTCTCTCCCTTACAAAACTTCTCCTCAAATGACCCCACACATTAGCTCCAATCCCAGAATGAGGGTCATATTCTTCCTGACTATCCATCTCTTTTTCATCCTTGTTCAATACTCCACCAACAACTTCAACAATTATATTGGAAATGTGTCATCTACACTGGGTCCACACTCCCCCACAGGGAAGTTACTGATGGCCCTTGTCAATGGCAATTGGCCCTTAACTTTTCCCACTGCCTTTCCTCCCACTGCCCTTCTGTGTCCCTGATCTTTGATGCCTGTAACCTCCATCCTTTTCCTTGTGGCTCACAAGACTGGCACCAGACATACAGCCACAAACCAAAATACCTTTGCATTCACAATGCACCCACTTCTCAGTGCAGGGATAATTGCCTGAACTGGAGTAACATCTTAGTACACTCCTTATCTTAGTTACTTTTTTATGCGTTGCTGGGACAAATACCTGACATTCAACATGAAGGAAGGAAAGGTTTATTTTATTTAGCTCAGTTTAAGGAGGTTTCAGTTCATACTCCGCTGGCTAAAAGGCACACAACAGCAGTTCATGGAGGCAGAGAACAATGAAGAGAAGAGGAGGAGCAGCAGCTGTGGCATCCATCAAATCAAGCCTCTCTCTTCCTTCTATGCTGACTGCGAAGACATACATAGCTCCTCCGAAGGCTGGGTCTTCTCCAAGGAAGCAGGGCAGGGCGGCCAGGGCTGGAACCCTTCCTCAATTCCTTCATATACACTTTTTGTGCTGAGTCACTCTGGGGTGGCCCATGGCCCTAAGGTTCAAACAATCGCACCCCAGTGTAGGCCCAACAGTGCCCCAGATTGGGCCCTGCTTCACTGCAGGGCTGGGTCCCCACTCCCAGAGCTGCCTGAGCCAATTCAGCCAAGTTGACACAATGTATCAACTACCACACTCCTCAAATGGCAAAGTACAAACTTTTCATCCCCTCTCAAGTACCATGAGCCTCATACCACAGCAACTACATTAACCTCAACACCCATAACCCACAATCAGACATATGGGACCATAGGGTCACCTTCACCATTTGGATTGACTCTATTAGACAAGACCCATTTCAGTTCCTCCATATTCATAAGACGCCTTACATGGTCCCTGATATTGATGATGCCTCCCTACAAAAAACAGCCACTAACCTCACCTGGATGGCCCTCACAGCACTCAAACTTCTCTCCCACACTCCTGCTAATCTGAGTCTTGACTATGCTCATCTATATGTCAACCAGACATAATAGCCATTTCAACCAACACAACCTGCTCAAGCTCTTGTCCATTTACTCAGAGATCCCTAGCCCTAAATATTACCCTCATGTCCCTCACTACCTCATATAACTTTCCCTGCTCTACAGGATGCTCTGTGAACTTTCCATGTAACTCTCTCCTCCCCCGCCTCCCCCCTTGTAAAAACTTCACACAACTCTTCCTATGTGGCTCCTCTGTCTACCCCTGCCTTCTGCTAGGTCTCCAATTCTAATAGTTCCTAACCTCGCTGTCTATACAGAAGAAGAATTTGCCGATAATTATTTCTCGGCCAACCTCCCTACAATATCACATAAAACAAAATGAGCAATCCACGTGGGATTTCTCATGGGTTCAGCCCTGATGGGAACCACCTTAGCAAGAGCTGCTGCAGTAGAAACATCCCTGGGGTTATATTCACAGCTGGCCAACAGACTGTGGGAGAATTTAAACATACAGCCAGAATTAAAGCGCCTGCAAGCAGGCTCAGGGGCCGGGGTTCTATCCCCAGTCTGCCATGCTGGCCCCACCCCTGGGGCCCGATGAGATGGCAACTGAGATTGGGTATGGTGGCGCATGCCTGTAATCCCAGCTCTTGGGAAACTGTGAATAGGCAGATCACTACAAGTCTGATCTAGCACAGAGACCCTGAACACCCTATGGATCCTTCCCTAAAATATAAATAAATAAATAAATAAATAAATAAACAAACAAACATACAGCCAACACCATGGATGTCATATACAAAGAAGTACAACAACTCACCTAGCTGGTACTACAGAACAGGCGAGCCCTTGAATTGATGACTGCAGAAAAAGTTTGAACTTGCCTCTTTTTAAAGGAAGAGTGTTGCTATTATGTTAACCAATCTGTATTATATACCAAAAGACCCAAGAATTAAAAGGTAAGAGCGCGACAATACCAATAATGGGCTCCCCAGGATGGGGGTTACACAACCTATCAGGGACCATACTCACGTGGCTTTCCCCCTCCTGGGCCACTAGGGGGACTCATTATGCTTCTTGTAGCTCCTTGCTTAATAACCCTAGTCCACAATGTGATAACTAAATTCACACCCCAAATTTTAACCAAATGCTTCTTTCAGATTACTCCTACCAGGCCTTACTCCAACATAACCCCTCCAATGACGACAACTCCTCACCCTGATTTCCAGACTCACCGCCCCACGACACCCCCGTTCAACAGGAAGTAGCTAGATGATTACTTCACCCTTTTTCTATCAAAGACAGTCTGGGACTCAGTTTCCAGGGGACCTTGCCCCATACATTCCCTCCCTCGGTTTCCTAGGTAACCTATGCTAGATCCAATCCAAACCCTGCCCCACATTGTACTTTGGTCTTGGCTCACTTCCCCTTGGCCCATGTTGTTCTCAACTCAACCCTTTTTTTTTCTTCACTGAAAACATTTTATTGGCCTTCTAACCAGAAACAGGAATTTATTTGCCAAGAAGGATGATTCCATCATACTTCTGCTGGAACCAGCACATGGCCTCCTCTTTGCTGATTCTGTGTGTGGCCCCAATGCAGCCTGTCCTGCGTTTCTTGTCTGCGATGCTGAAACCTGGCCTACCCTGCACCACATAGAAATCCAGGCCATAGATACCAATGCTTGGGTCATATTTGATGCCCAGATCGATATGTTCCTGGATTCCAAAACCAAAGTTTCCAGTATCGGAGAAGTTATTTTTCCTTAATTTATACTCTACCTTTAGGCCTTTCTCCAGGATTTCTTCTGCTTTCGCCCCTCGGACTGTGCAGTGGACAGCGATCTTCTCATTTCTTCTGATGCCAAAACACCTGACAGTGTATCTAGCTTTAGAAAACACAGGAGTCTGGCCCGTGAGCTGCTCCAATACCTTGGCCGCCCATGTCAATCTGTCTCCACTCTCCCTGATGCAAATTTTTTTTTTAAATTTTATTTATTTATTTTGTGTGTGTGACCAGCTCAGCACACCAGGGGGCGGGGCCGGCTGGCATATGGTGCTGGAGGATTGAACCGCGGTCCCTGTGCTTTGCTAAGCTTGTTCTAAGTAGGTGCTTTAGACCACTGAGCCATCTCACCAACCCCCTGATGCAAATTTTAAGGCAGAGTTTGCGAATTTGAAGTTCCTGCATGGGGTTCTCCTTCTCACCTTGATCCTGCACCATGGTAGAGAACCGGAAGAGTCAACTCAACCCTTCTGACATAAACAGAATTAAGAAGGAAGATAAATGATGACCACCTGAGATCTGGCTGTTCCAGCCAGCAATCACACTCTCTGAAACCCGCAATCTGGCTATTACCTGGCTGTTCTAGTCCACGATTACCCTCCCTGAAAGATTCTATAAAGTCTCCTGCCCCCCTTTGTCCAATGCTGTCTTGGTCCGGGAGGCAGCCCCTGCACGCGCTTCCAATAAACCTGTTTCACTTGTATCAGTGTGTCTGGTCCGGTACTGTGTGGGTACTGTCCAGTACTGTGGGTTCAGCCATCCAGGTTTGACCTTTCAGTAGAAATCACATACACTGGGTAACTATGGATAAAGATGAAATGACTATCCTAAAAAGGGTCAATTTATGGGCAAACCAAAAATGCTAACAAGTAATTCAATAAGTGCTACACCCTCAGTCCTTTCTTTATTTTGAAGTTGCCCAGGCAGGACCTGAAATTGCAATCCTCCTGCCCTGGTCTCCTAAAGTGCTGGAATTAAAGGCATGTGCCACTGCTTGGCTTATACAGTTTTACTCTTGCTCTGTATTTCTTTTTGCAGTTTTACTTATTTCTGTCTCTTTAACCATCCCCATTTTAAAATCATTTGAAATCATCCCCAAGATGATTTCTAAATTTCTTTAGTTCTGGAATACTGTCTTCCACATTCCAAAAGCAACTAGATATACCACTGAAACTTTAAACCCCAACTATTGAAAAACATTTATCTCTGTCTTCAAATCTGTTGCTCCTCCTTTATTTCCAAGTTGTGTCATCCCACTACCCATTTGCACAGTTGTTCAGGCTTCAGAATTTAAAGCTAATACATCTCTATCCCTGTACATCATGTTTTAGTCAAGTCTCATAAATACTTTGTCCGGGGCCACGGGTTCAATTCCTGATCTGCCATGCTGGCCCTGCCCCTGGGAGGTGCTGAGATGGCAATTGAGACTGGGCGTGGTGGCATGTTCCTGCAATCCCAGCACTTGGGAGGACCACTACAAGTCCAATCTGTGTGGTGAGACCCTGTGTTAAATACATAAAAACAAACAAATAAAAACAAAAAACTTTGTTGGGATTGCTATCACTAGTATCAGTTCTGAATACCTAGAAAATCATGATAGTTTCCTACATTCCCCTCTGTAACCCATCTCAGGCAATTCTAATACATTATTTCTTTCCTTCCCCCCCATTATTTATTTCCTAAAGAAGTACTAATATTGTACATGGCTTAAACGCTAAAGATACTTCAGGTGATGGCAGGTCATGAGGTACCTGGGATCATACTCAGGACTTTGCATTTGCCAGGTAGGTTCTTAGATCACCGAACTATCTCCCCAGCCCCTCTATTAATTTACTATTAATGGGGTCAGGGATATGGCTCAGTGGTACAAATACCTGCCTGGCAAGTGCAAGGTCCCAAGTTTGATCCCGGTCCCCCCCCTCCGCTAAGACCCCCCCCCAAAAAAAAAACTATTAATGGATAATAAATTACCCTTGTTTAACAGTTTAAAACAACATTCATTATCTCATAGTTTTTATGGGTCAGAAATCTGGAAGCAGCATAGCTGGGTGATTCTGGCTCAGGATCTCTTAGGAGTGTGCAGTCATGTCAAGGGTCAACTGGGAGAGGATCTTCTTCCAAGCCTACTCAAATGGCTGCCTGAAAGCTGCCTGAGCATCCTCACAACATGGCATCTAGCTTCCCTCTCTCCATGGCTGCCTCCCAAGCGCTAAGTAGGGAATGAGGCAGACAGAGAAAAGACTAGACTGGAAACCACAGTTTAATTTCAGAAAAGACATCCTATCACCTCATACTACATTTGATAGAAGCAAGTTACTAAATCTAGCTGGTTAATAATAAGTGCTGGAGGTTCATTCTCTCCTATGCTTTAGGAGAGAATGAACCTCCAGCACTTGAAGTAAGTACCAATGGATTTGGGAACAGGATACTCTTCAATGTTGTAATTAGATTCCTAAAGCACAATTCATCCCTATCTATTTTCCCTTCTCTATCAAACAGTTCAAAACCCTGAATCTTAAGCCAGTGTAGTGGCACCTACCTGTAATCTCAGCACTCAAGAAACTGCTTTGAATCTGAGGCTAGGCTGGACTACATAGTGAGTTTAAGGCTGAACTGCATAACAAGAGTTTGTCTCAAAAATAAAAACAAAAACAGCTGCCATCACCATAAAGTCTGTACTTTTACAATTTCTCTAGCCACCAGCACCACCACCATAGCATCTGTACCTTTAAAATTTCTCCAAAATAGGGGGCTAGGGAAATGGCATAGTAGAATAAGCACTTGTCTGGCAAGCGCAAGGGCCTGAGTTAAAACCCCAGTTCTGAAAAGAAAAAAAAAAAAAAAAAAAAAACAAAAAAAAAAAAAACCAAATTATCCAAAATAAATCTAAACTATCAACTTTATAATTAATATCTTAACCTACTTTGCCAGCTTCACTTTATATTCTTTCCCTTTGTGCATCCCTCCTCCAGCCACTTGTTTCCAAACACACCCATGGTCTTTCATCTGAATTGATGGCATTTCCTTGGCACAGAAGTTTGATTTTCTTGAATCCAAGGTACAGAATATCTGGCAGCTCAAATGCTCTTTTCAGAATACCACAAGATGTTGATACATAAACTCCAGTGGAAGAATTCCTAACACTGTGCTAAAACTAACTTCATCTTATATGGATTCTAGAACAGACATGTGGAAATAGGTGCTAACCATTTAAAAATCATTTCTTCTACAAGTTGATTAAAAACAAGGTGGTTTAATAGAGATTAGCAACAGAACATCCTTTCGTGGGAGGAGCACTTTAACTGACATTAAATGTCATCACCCATTCAACCTCTCAAAACTTCATATAGCTAGTGGAAAACTACTGGAACCATCCTGAACGGCTACCAGAAAGCTACCTAAACAAACTGTAACGTAGCTACATGGTGGGCGCTATTTGGCTATTAAAATAGATGAATTGCCAGTTAAACAGAAGACCCAATGCTATTATGGGCTACTGGACTCTTTTAGAATATTTTGCTGAGGGCTGGAGAGATGGCTCAGTGGTCTAAAGCACCTACTTAGAACAAGCTTAGCAAAAGCATCAGGGACCGCGGTTCAATCCCCCAGCACCACATGCCAGCCAGCCCCGCCCCCTGGTGGGCTGAGCTGGCCACACACACACACCACACACTCTCTCTCTCTCTCTCTCTCTCTCTCTCTTTCTCTCTCTCTCTCATAAATAAAAATAAAAATAGAATATTTTGCTGAGTTTACACACCTATAATATTCAATAACGGAACTTAGAAAAAATGGGGTATACAGATGAATGTCCATTTTGTATCTGTGTATTCAAAGTGGTTGGGATAGATATATAGTTACATTCTGTTAATGAATAGAATGATTTGTTCTAATGATGTTTGTAAATAGGATCACAAGTCCGCATCTTGTACAGCCATTAACCACTGAGAAGAATATATGCAGTGTATTATTTGTTGAAAAATAAAAATAAAAAATAAATAAATAAATAAAGTAATTTAGTCCCTAAATTTTCCTCTCAGATTAAGAGTATTTATGTAGTTTTAACACTATTAAATCAATGTGTATTAATGAGGTACTATGTAGAAAATATGTTATTAAGCAGCCTGAAAAGACCCAATGTTAGAAAGATACACTTTTTCATCTTAAAGAGATTTTGAATAGTCTAATGTAAGATACATTAATTTGTAAAATAATACACATTTTAAAATAAAACAACTCCCCCAAAATGCAAAAAAATAAAATAAAATAGATGAATTGGTGTTTCCTGTACTGATTTGGAACAACCTTCAAAATACCCTATACTGCCGGGAATGGTGGAGCACATCTGTAAGGCAGGGGGCTGAGGCAGGAGGATTGCTGCGAGTTCAAGGCCACCTTAGGCTTACAAAGTGAGTTTGAGGCCAGCCTGAACTGCACAGCAAGACCCAAATCTCAATACAGGCCCCTCCACAAAGAAAAAACTCCACATATTACGGAGAAAATATGAGGTGCAGAACAATGGGTATATCAGGCTATTGTTTGTGAGGAGAAAAAAAAATCTTCCATCCATAAAGAGAAAAGAGAAGTCTGTCCTAAATAAAGCTAGAATATTTCTGAAGAGTTTCAGGAGATACCGTGACACGTTGGCTACCTCTGGGGAGACGCATGGGGCGGGAGGGACTCGCTCTACCGTATTCCTTTTTTTTTTTTTTTTTATTTTTTATTTATTTATTTATGTGTGTGTGTGTGTGTGTGTGTGGCCAGCTCAGGCCACCAGTGGGCGGGGCTGGCTGGCATGTGGTGCTGGGGGATTGAATCGCAGTCCCTTTGTTTTTGCTAAACTTGTTCTAAGTAGGTGCTTTAGACCACTGAGCCATCTCACCAGCCCCTCTACCGTATTCCATATCTGTCTGTGATCCAGCCTCCACAACTACCGGTACTTACCGCCAGCCTCTCCTGGAGACCAGAAGCTCCCAGGGTCCGTCCCGATTTGTTTCATTTTGGGAGCCTCACGCCGGCTAACGCTGCACCTGCTGCTTCAGTTCCATATTTCAGGGAATCCCCACCAGCCGGGAGGAGGCTTCACCTAACGTCACTTCACTACAGGAGCGTGGCCGAGTCAGGACGCTGCACTTGCGTGAGCGCCGCAGAGCGGATCACACTGGGCTGCCAGTCAGGGTTATTCTTCCACGTCGTGGCGCTTTCTCGATTTCCTTTGCGTAAGATCCACGAGGGTCGACAGATCCCACGCCTCAGGCAACAACACGGAAGCTGAAGGGAGGAAGCAGTGCTGCTTCAGCAAAGAGGCTCTGATTGAAGCAAGTACTTCAGCGACCATTGAGACACACCGCGCGCGCAACGCCGGGAACTCAAACTGCGCGCCCTCCCGGAAATGACGCACAGAGCCCGGATCCCGCCCCCTGACTTCCGGTTCCGGACCGCACTTTCGGGTGCGCGCAGGAAGCCAGCTCCGGAGTGGCGTGTTGGTTTGCACGAGGTGAGGGAGAGATGGATGACCCGTCCTCCTCCCAGGAGTCGGGTTTGCCCGCCACCTTGACTCCCGCAGAGCGGCCTTCACCAGCGCAGCTTGACAAAGAGCAGGTGAGTGCCCCAGAGGAATTAGGTTTCGAAGCAGGATGGCTGTGACCCTTGCAAGGCCTCGAGGTTGCGAGTGGAGGCCGGGAAGTATCATAGCGGGCTCGGTGTGCCAGTGCACGGTCCCGGAGCCCAGCGAGGGTCTCTTGGTGGCCATGCACGTCATAGCCCGCCTGGTTTTTTTGCACGATGAACACCTACTTCTCTTGAGACCTGCAGCCTGGCCCATTTAAATTGGATTACGACTATAGCTTTGCAAGAGTTTATCAGTTCTTTAAAATGGGCTCTTTTTTCCTTGTCCAGGATCGGATCGCAGGAGGTAATCTGTGTGAGCTCCTGTAGCCCGCAGCCTGGCACGTAGTACTCTGTAAATACTACTTGTTATTTTGTGCTTTCCCTGCGATAACTGCCTTGTTCATTTGAGCTTGGGAGAAACTGTTTTCGTCTGGCTCAGGCTTGAGAAAAGGCTCCTTTCTGTAGGCAAGTGCATTTTGGGTGAATTATGAATTTTCCAAGTATAAATTGCGGCACCGTAAGAAGTAGGTAGTAGAGGTTGTGTATTAGAGACGGGGGGGGGGAGTGTGTGTGTGTGTGTGTGTGTGTGTGTGTGTGTGGTGTTAAATTATTTTGTGAAAATTAACTTGTGTCTCTATACTTTGCAGGTTAGAAAGGCAGTGGAAGCTTTGTTGACACATTCTAAGTCCAGGAAGAACAAAAACGGATTACTTTTGAATGAGAATGAAAATTTATTTTTAATGGTGGTACTATGGAAAATTCCAGGAAAAGAACTGAGGGTCAGATTGTAAGTTCTGGTTTTCTATTTTTGCGTTTTATGTATTTATTCCTTCGTGCCTTTAACAATTACGCTTTAGTTTAGAATGAAAACTTTGCAAAATGAAGTAAAGATTAAGATGAAAGAAAAGAACTAGTGTTAAAAGAACTATAGCAATTTAGATGTGCTAAAATTTTCCAGAAATTCCACTTTTCTGGAGAGAAGCGTCTTTTGGTTTAAAACCTAGTGTTTGACAGGTTAAAGGTGGAACATGTTAATCCTGTCAAACTACAATGGGCACCAAACTTACTCTTTAAAGAGATTATTTAAAACCTCGCTTTGAACTCCTTTCCATAGAAAAAAATTCCTGTACTCTTACTGCTAGGAGCCTTAGATTCTCTTTTGATAGAGTTGGCAAATTTAGCAAATAAAAAAATTTCTCAGTATAAATAAAGTCTAGACATTATTCAGGACCTGCTTAAACTAAAAGACAGGGGAACTGGATATGTGGCACACACCTATAATCCAGAGGATTGCAGATTTGAGACCAGCATGAGTAACTTAATTGTTGCAGAAAACTAATATCAAATCAAGAGTTTGTATTGAGAAGTTAAGAGGCTGGGGAACCCAGAGGTTCAAATGATGCACCCAGAGTCAGATTTGAGTTCAGTTTAAATACGGGAAGTGGGAAGTATGAAGCTGATAGGTTATTGTATAATTGGTTACGTGGAATATGTATTATGTCATACATTGTCAGGCAGGTTTGTATAGGAACATTTTGAGAGGGAGGAAGTCTGAGAAGAGTAGGTGAAGTTGAAAATGACCCTGACTGGGCCAGTCATTCCCAAACATGTGTCCTTGAAGTCCTTGAACTTGAAGCAAGCCAGAATCACTGCATGTTTTTAAAACATAAGCCAGACACAATCGGTTTGATCAACACTTTATAAAGTGGGAACGTCAGGAGCCTAGGCAGTCAAGGCCAGATGAATGCAGTAAGCTAGCTATGTGACAAGTAGTAAGACCTTGGGGTCACAGCCCTCTTGGTTTATAACTTTGCTCTAATATGCCTATGAGCTTGTTATTCTATAAATGTGTCCTTAGATCCTCCCACTGTTTTTATTATTATTATTATTATTTTTAATTTTATTTATTTATATATGTGTGTGTGTGTGTGTGTGCGCGCGCGCGCGCGGCCAGCTCAGCCCACCAGGGGGCGGGGCTGGCTGGCATGTGGTGCTGGGGGATTGAACCGTGGTCCCTGTGGTTTGCTAAGCTTGTTCTAAATAGGTGCTTTAGACCACTGAGCCATCTCACCAGCCCCTGTTTTTATTATTAAGAATCTTCAGTTTCTTCTCCTAGGTGAAGTGACTTCTAAAAGGAGTTGGTGATGCATAGCTTTAAAGTGTTTAGTCAGGAAGCGTGTCCATGAGAGAAAACCTGAAGACCCCACCAAGAAGAGTCTCTTATAGATTTGAAGCCCTGTGTTTGAGGTGTTTCCATTAGGTGATGGGAGGTTTTTTTTCTGATTTGTTAGCATAGTAACAGTATTTTTTCCTCTACGAAGAGGCAGGTACCTCCATATTGGGCTGTTAAGTGAGCTAATAAGGCTCTTCGATTGTGGAGGATAACTGCAGTTAATGAGTCTGTCTGATCCTTCAGTGTGTCTATTGAGGTCTGTATGTCAGCAAAATCTCCAGTAATCTGAGCATTTAATTGTTGATTTCTAATTTGCTATAATAGGCCTATAAATGTGCCCTCACATAATGATGCAGGGAGATCATGTTTCAGAACTTATTTATTTTAAGTTCCTGTGCTTGTGTGGCAGGTGTGCCAGTGCACGGTCCCGGAGCCCAGCGAG